ATTTTTCACGAACTATAATTTCCATATCTTCAGCACTTTTGACTGTTACACACACCAGTACATTTCCAGTAAACCGTTTCATAGGGCACTTCCGATCGTGAAGGCAAAAAAATTAAGGGATTATGCCCCTCTCTCAGGCTGGCATGCGACCCATGAAGGGCGAATTGTACTGCTTGGTTGGTCCTCATACTGCGGTAATGTCTATTTTCAGATGGGTTCTGTTGTGTACAATGCTGTCCTTGGTGCGTTTGTCTGCAGTGGAATTCTTCTCGGAACCGCGCTTGTGCTCTTGCTGAACGTTTTCAGCGATATAGGCGAATTCCACACCCAGATTGAAGAGGATCTTAGTCAATTCAAGGTAAGTTGCTCTTTTAGTCCAGTTTGACATTCAGATAATCCTACTGAATGCTGAGGCTCTTTCAGACTTATGCCGACGATGCATGGACTGTGATGATGGCCACGAATAAAGCCCCTTCAGTGCAGCGGCAAAGCGTCTTCTATGACTCCCTTATTCGCAGCAAGAGACAGGGATCATACATAGATGGAGGTGGCGCTATCGCGGGTGGAGGCGCAGGAGGAGGATATGGTGGTTGTCAATGCGCAGCCCAAGCAACAGGCTGTCCTTCAGGACCACCAGGTAACATCAACTCAGCATTAGCCATTTTCCGAACTCGAAACATTTCTTTTGTACAGGACCTCCAGGACTCGCCGGGAATACCCGGAGAAGACGGTACCCCTGGGTATCCTGGTCAGACAGGTGGAGTCGGTCTATCCGCTTCTTCGTTTCATCCCTCAGGGTGCATTCAGTGCCCAGCTGGAGCTCCTGGCCCCCAAGGACCAGATGGAGCACCTGGCCCTGCTGGAGCTCCTGGAAATCCAGGCCAAGATGGACAAGGTGGAGGTGGAGGTAGGCTTTGAGCATAAACAATTCTTCGCTTTTTACTCCACAATCCTGCAGTATAATGTTTTAGGCTTCCCAGGACCTCCTGGACCACCAGGAGCACCAGGACGGAATGGAAACCCTGGCGCACCAGGACAGGACGGTGCACCTGGAGCTCCAGGTAAAACTTTTCCAAAGCTCCACTAATCGTGAACTGGTTTCAGTGCATTCGCTGGGATTTGAAAGTATTCTTTCTAATATGGGAAATTTTAGGAACACGAACAAGTAACTATCCAGGTCCAGCTGGTGCACCAGGACCAGCAGGAGCACCCGGTGCACCTGGACAGAACGGTAGCAGCTACGGAGCTGGGGCACCAGGATCAGCTGGACCACCCGGTCGGCCTGGTAACCCTGGAACAGACGGAACTCCAGGAGCGGCAGGGCAAGCTGGTTCTGCAGGAGCCCCCGGCTCGGACGCTGCCTACTGCCCATGTCCACGAAGAACTCGCATTTAGAATGGAGCCTCTTTTTTGGATTGCAGCAGACACCATTCGCCTGCGGCATATCTTGTGCCACCTCAGTAGTTGACATAAATCATACCTAGACTTTGTGCATTCAGTATTTGCAATTGCTGCCGTCCAGAAGCAGACTTTCGATTCCGTGATGAGCCTAACATACGGCCTTAAAGGCAGGCACCGTCACTCGATAGATTATCGCGCCTAAAATTGGGCCACAAATGAAGCATGTACAAGTTGTGGTTGAATGTTGTGGGTTGCAATTAAGTTGGTGGTGAAAACGAAATCGGGAGTCTCTGGTGCGGGTATGAAAAAACTGAACGAAACAGCCGAAAAGTGTGAAATAAGCAAGGATTCACGCTGTGGCTTTCGACATATCCCCTTTAAAGGAACGAGTTCAAGTCAGCCTGTACATCGGCGAGGAGATGGGAGACGAGGACACCACTGTAGCATCGCAAACGACTTACTGACTTTATTTTAACTCAAACCTTCTAAAAATTCATTCACTAATGTGTTGTATGCAGCAACCTTTGCCGGTAGTGCCTTGATTGTTTGATTGGCGTAGGCAAGGCAATATGCGGGATTTAATCCTGTGCGGTAGCTACTCTCCTTTCCACTTAACTATCCCTGTTTATTGAACTGAGAGTTATGATTCTATCACTAATAGCACAATGGGACAGTGCTAGTAATCGGTCCGGCCTGGAGTTACAGCTGGAGAACTAGGCGACGAGACCCTATGCAGAGCTGCCTGGGAGCCACTGTCGTTGGCTCCGTCGTGTTATTATGGGCTCCTTCTGTTAAAAAACTAGCGTCGTCGTCAGAACCTTCCATTGCCGCCGTCGCTTTATACGTAGTATTAAACTTTTGGAAATTGATTTCATTAATGTTGCCGCTTGGGGCGGAAGTGGTGTAGTGGCAAGTGGCACGCTTACCACGCGAGCGGTCCGGGGATCAAATCCTGGGTCGTGAGTCGCCCGGGCCAACCAAGCCTTCCATCCCTCCGGGGTCGGTTAATTGGTACCAGACTTGTCTGGGAGGATAAAAACACTGACTTGTACATCGGCTGGCCCCCGCAAGTCATTGTATAGGCCACATCGCATTCAAACGCCACTACGAATGTACAAATGGAAGTAGAATGCGTGCCGCATCCCAAAAAGGGATTGATCAACGGCAAATGCTTTATCCTTTATCCTTTAATGTTGCCGCTTCAAATCTTTATCTGATTCGTCTTCAGTAACATCATGCAAATTCCCTCCCCTTTTATTGACTTTTGATCGAGCTGTTATTGTTCAGAGCTGATATAGTAAATTTAGCAGATACTGAAACGCTAATACGCAAAATACGACTTCGTGTGGAACTTCTGAAAATACAATTTCTTTGAAGCTGCAAACACTGGCGAGCGACCAGGGTTAGGAGCTGCTTCGGTAAGTCAACCAGGAGAAAGTCTTTTCCGTGAGAAGAACAGCCATTGCAGCAAAGATCATGAAGTTTCTCGTCTTGCACAATTGGATCTCCACAGGGCCTCGCTCACTAAAAGTGTCAAATTTTGAGAGTCTACTGACTACTGGTGGTGGTGCACACAGGCGCTCAAAATAATTTGGCTAAAAGCTTTCTTGGTCGTGACTTTTTTCTGCTGGATCAACTTAGTTGGAACTTCAACATATTTTGAGCCTTTTCTACTGAGTCAGCATGTTAGCGTCGAATGTGAGAAGGAGTGAAGAATGGAGAATTATACTGGAAATTCCCTATTATGACCGAATTCAGTAAATTCCCAACTGCTGTAAAATGCTCGCAATCCAGCAGAAAACCGACCGCATGATAAATAAAATTGAGCGGATTCCTTAGTTTGTTGGTAACCTTCTGGAGTCGGTGCAACTTTGAGAGCGCCTACTAAGTATGGGACCAGTTGATGAATTCACTGCCTATAGGAATGAACCTCCTCCATTTTTCTTCAAATTTGACTGTGGTCTTCCTCCATATTCCTGGCTCTTTTTTTCTGAGAGAGGTTTCCCCATTCTTCGCCATATTTCTCCGGCGATGCTAGGAAATGCGCAGAGTCAACCCTACCGTTGGCACT